GTCCTCCCCCCCGTCCTCCCCCTTTACCCCGCCCTCGGGGGACAAGAAGCTGCTCGGAGTAAGGGGGGGAGGGGATCACACGCTCTTCCTCCTCGAGCGACAGGGGAAGGCAGGGAGGGAAGGAGGGAGGGAAGAGAAAAGGGACCATCAGCTATGGGCTGCGGGCCACGGTCAGTGGGGGCAGCTCGGAACGGGCAATAGAATTCATGCAGGGGGGCCCCTGCCGGTGAGGGATGGAGGGGAGGAGGGGCGCGAGGGCGAGAGGGAAGGGAAGGGAAGGCGCAGGATTGTTGAGGTAAAAGCCTTTCTCGTGATGAGAAAAGTTTTTCTCGTGATGGGAAACGTTCTTCTCGTGATGTTTGAGGTGTCTTTGGACTCTTTCCCTGTCTTTTCTTGTTTTGTAACCCCGTCTCCGTAACGTACATTTCGTTTGCATCCTCCTTTCTCTGCAGGTGCTTTTGCCTAGCTCTACGTGCATCTCACAAGTTGCTGTCGGACGGGCTCACAGCTTGCTTTTGACAAGCGAGGACAGGGAGGAAGGAGGAAGAGGGGGAGGGTGGGTGTATGGATGGGGGAAGAATCAAAAGCGCCAGGCCAATTTCGCCTGTCCATGTGAAAAAACGAAGGGCGACATCTTGCAACCTGTGATGGTGCCTTTGTTTGCGATGGAGGGCACGGGTGCAGGGATCGGGAGGGTGGAGGGGGTGTTCGCGGGCTATGACTCGAGCGGGGTCGTCATTCAATGCGATGATGATGCAAACGAGAATGGGACGGAAGGGCATTGAAGGCAAGCTTTAAAGAAATCTTAGTAATGTGGCTATTTTTTTCGTGCCGTGAATAATTTGCTTGACTTCAAGGATGCAGGAAAGGGAGGCGGTAAGTATCATAGTGAGGGAGCGTACATTGGATCATACGTTGCAAATCGTCTCATCGACACCAGCAGAAATCTTATACAAATGAAGATCACGATAGAGTTCCCCCAGATATAGCCTCGCCTCCCTAAGCACACGGGCACTTGTCAGCAAATCCCTAGCCCCTTTCTTCATAAGCGTGATTTTGAGTGGGAGGAGATAGTAGATGATGGTGGCCAAGCTGTCACGCTCGTCTCACAGCCATACCTCCTCTGTCCATCCCCTTTGGGCACCCACCGTCCCGGCAGTGGTCGTAAACTAGTTGCTCATACTGATTTTATGCCGCGTGCCATGTATCGGCAATGTTCTTTACAGGCGCGCTTCTGTTTGGACAGGCGGATGTCGTCACCGGCCCCCCCTCCTTCGTCTTACCTCCTCCCTTCTCAAAGTCATGAGTCAACGGGAGGAGCGTATGCAAAAACAACACTTACAGGCGCACCGGCAGGAGACATTGCATGCAACTCCACCCATGTGGAGGAGGACGTGGAAGATGTCCTTTCAGAAGAGGCCATGGGAATGTTGATGTATGCGAATGACGCTCCAGGCTTCACTGCTATATTAAAACAACGCTACTCGGACTTCCTCGTCAACGAAGTAGACAAAGACGGCAAAGTTATTCGACTCACGAGCATCAGAATGGAAGGGGGAAAGGAGGCGGAGGACGGGGACGAGAAAAACAAGCGGTTGAAGGATGCAGATGGACAGGCTGTGCACTTGCCTGCGAAGACGAAGGAGGAGGAGGACGACGAACCAGGGCCGACAACAGCTGCGGTACCGACTATCAGACCAGGAAAAGGTGACAATGGAGTTGACGGGGATGAAGTTCACGGAGAAGAGGCCCTGTCAGAGAAAGCATCAGAGGCTATCAGAGTCTTGGGAGCCTCGGCTGAGTGGTCGGAAGAGGTTCGGGCGCGCTTGCTCGAGGCCTTGAAGAGGGTGTTACTGGGACCGGAAGACAACGGAAAGGAAACAGAGGGCACAGAAGTGGAAGGAGCGTGCGGGGAGGAACTGGGTCCACAAGGAAACGTGAAGAAGAGAGGCATCCGGAGGCGGAGGGGCAAATCGGCAGGGGTACCCCTGGCAGTAGTCTTCCCGGCCACGGCGGACAAGAATGTGCGGCGACAGCAGCACGAGTACTTCAAAACACATTTCGCAGGTGTGTTGGAAGGAGACACC